AGCACTGGATCCAGCCCAAGCATACAAGATAAAAAATTTTAGTTCACTTACAGTATTTTCTGTTTGCTTCTGGTGTTAACAGACTACAGGATAGAAGTTCCCTATGACAGTGTTTTTTAACAGTTGAAAGTGTATTCCGTAACTTAAAGACTCAAATTATTTCACTAGGAACCCATGGAAAGTGGAACGGAGTTAGATAAGGGGAGAGAACACTGCCTCTACCTGTATAAACCACAACTTAACACATCCAGGTAAAACCTTCTGCCTGGGGCCCTACCAGCCTATCAGAATTCTTTTTTATTCTTAATAGGTAAAATAGGTAAAAATAAAATAGTACTATCAAAAGAAATAATTTTGTTTGGTCTCCTCCCAGTTTTTCTTCTGGGTACATTGTATGTTTGGATATCAACCTTAACTAATATTTAACACTGGGATCCAGCATAATAACTAATAAAATTCCTCTAATGAGAATCTTTGTTTCATGAAATCATAGGCAATGCAGAGAAATTGCAATGGATCTGTTTCACAACATACCTTGTCATCCACAGATGGCATAATAGCATCCACCCTGAAGCACAATAATAATTTAAGAAAGAAAACAGCGTTTACTTCTTTAAACTAAAAACTACTGCAGCCAACTGCAAAACCTACAGACTTCAGCTGCCTACTGATCTTAAACATCTGAAATGGTATTTCTATGTAAGAACTCGTCTAAGCCAAATTTTCAATCTATCCATTATTTCATATTCCCCAATGAAGAGGAGCTTCCTATCTGGAAGACTGAACTGGTTGAGTTACACTTTGAGGCAATGCAAAAAAGCTGAGCTCCTACAGACTGAGTCCTTGCTAAGCCTCTTAACCCCTCAGTTTATCCACCTGCCTTCTTCAGAGCTTTTTGGAGAAGTGAAATTAGGCATGAATCTTCAGCCAGGGTGTTGGTCATCAGTTTCAGAGGAGTTATACCCACCCGCATCAGCTAGAAAGTTTACATGCCACATCTCTCTGCTCACTGAACTTATAGCATGTCCCAATACCTGCAACTGTCACGAAAACACAGAAGAGGCTCTATCACACTGTTACGACTGTTAGGTGGCCCTGTTCACCTCAATTAATCTAACAAAACAAAATAGCAAGATTAAAATCTAAACAGTGAGCTAATTGACCCTACAACATACAGAGGCCTGCTATAAGCATAACAAATCACAAAGGTTTCAAACAAAAGATAATTGACAAAGAATAAGATGATGTGATCCAGTCCAGCCCACAGAGATAAAACAACTGAAACAAACAACAAATGTTACCTGAACACTGTTATTTCTCATGGGAAACAGGAACGATTCCAAGCCAAGATCTTATCATAAGAGGTTATATTTAACTTTCATCCTCCTTCAAGTTAGCATGCTTAATGCACAGAAACAGTGTTTGTAATAAGCCTAGCTCATTATAAACATTATAAAAGCTTTACCTACGTACTGGTAGACCAAAGGAATGTTGAGAAGTTTGCCCAAGTTCTCACAGTGGTTCACAGAAAAACCACCTGCTGGAGACCACCTCTGTGCTTACAATAAACGCTAAGGATTTATGCCAAGACCAATTCTTAACTTCTACAATTAAATACTCAAAACAGTCATTTTCACTAGAAAAGAAACAGGCTGATGAGCACAGCGAAGTAAAAAGAAAATACCATCATTCAATTGATTTTCTGGCCAGAAAGACCAAGTAGCTGTTGGACTATTTCACTGCCTTAGACTGCTTTGGCAGAAGCCTCTCACAAGACTTTTAACCGTGTTATGAGCTATGCAAATGCTGGGATATTTCAAAAAACAAATGAAAACTTCCATGAAAATCAAGATGCAATGTAGTAAGAAATATTCACACAAGCAGGAATAAATGAGGATTAAAAATCTTAGTAAAAGAACAGGAAATAGTTACAACTCAAAAGATAAGACTGGCAGAAATTTCTTTTAGCTCACAGCTCTTCTCTCACATGAACTTATTCAGATATGCTGATTCTGCAGTCAAAAATCAATTTTTACTGCTTTTTATTTCTATGTGCACTCTGATGTCTAAAGAGCTGTAACAACTAAACTGGTTTAATTCTTGGCAAATGCACCATGCACTAAGTGAATTCTACCGATAAACCATTTCAGAAATCACACTCTGGTACACTATAAATGTTTTCTGACTACTCATTTAATAGTTCTCAAGTACTTCAGCATAAACCATTGATCCAGAGCCAAGCAGCAGAGGCACAACCAGAATTAAAAATACCTTGAAAATGCCCTTATAAGGCATATGGCTAAAAGGGGAAACACCACAAACTGAAGTTTGAAACTCTAATACCAGAAAAAAAGAATGCCATACTTAGTGAGTCACTTATAAAATCTGGATGGATTATGTGTATGTATTTATACATGTACATTACTGACTGAGTGCACTGCAAAATAAAACACAGGAAAGTCAGGTTACAGGAACTTTTCGGAACTTCAAAAACCAAATTATTAGATTTTTACAAAAGACTCACATCTGGTTGAAAAACTAAGGAATAAATTAATCTGGCAATATCAACTCCTAAAAATTTAAGAGTAAGAAGAATGACTTTCGCATATTTGTATTACTTATAAAGATGCAGGTGCTAAAAGAAATTACTCAGAAATATGACCTGTTAATCAAGTCTTAACTAAATTATTTATCAAAGCAATTTTACCAAAGAATTGTTGCAGTATAAAGACAAGTCTATTCCCTCCCTGAACATACTGCTCCCATAATAGGTTTTATTTATGGCATATAATTTCTCAGGAACTTTTTACAGAGCTCAGGAAATTCATGAGCTAATTGCCATGAGCAGAACATATGGATCAGTGTAACTCACTGTCAACATAACTCAATGACATATGCCATTTGCTGTAACTTCTGCCGAGAAAGAGACTGAACTGATAACTATAGAGTGATTTTAATTTGAAACCTTTATTGCCTATTCAATTTAAATAAATCCTTTTAAGAGGAAAAAATAGGTCATGCAGTCCTTTTGCTTGTTTCTACACTGACATTACAGGCTTTACTCAATTGTCCATACTCGCATGTGCCTGCCCACCTGAGAGACCCTTGGCAAGGCCAAGGTATCATTACAGGACAGTAAAAGCACAGGACCCTTGGAAGGTCTGCATCTGTCCTGAACACAAAACAGGGTAATAGGCCATCTCAAAGGGCACTAGTTACCTATGTGGGGCAATGTAAACAGTGCTGGTACATCAGATTGCATTCCACTGTTGGATGCCCAACCATGTACCTTCAGGTGAGCACATAGGATTGAGTGCCAAGCACCCATCGATGTCAGTGGACTTCAGAGAGCTACTAAATTCATTCTACACTCAGTCAGTATCCAGTCAACACCTGAACCTTGTCACCTGAGCAGCTCCTGATTCCTCTGACGCTACACACAAAACTTCCATTGATAATCAAAACATGATGTTCAGCTCAACCTACAGACACCTGAACTCAGATACCCAATTAATGAGCCAAAGTCCACCCTAAAACTAGATGGGATGATTATCAATATAGGAAACACAGCTTGGCCCACATAACTTGAGGCAAACCAGCTCAAATAAATATTTCAAGATCAATAATCGTAGCATCTTTTATAGCCAATGCAAAGAGGCCAATGTCTTCAGAGTCTGATTTAGTTAAATGCCTGATTTTGGGTAAGGCTTATCCACAGCTAACCATATCCTCCAAAGCATACAGGAACATGCTCAATCTCTCTTAATGATGGCTGTAGCTAACATATACAGCCATATGTTGATGCTCTCATTAGCTTTATTCCTTCTGTCATGTTCCTGATGCCTGTGAGAGGCTACCCAGAACAGAGGCTAGACAGCGTTGAAGGAATAAAGTAGGTATTTATTAATAAGGCCTTTAAAGGATACATCTTGGGCAGTACAAGAACCTGGTCATGGCTACACCCAAGATGGATCCCAGTCACAAGTTTTCACACATTTATGTTTTGGTTCATTTATATATTTGGGTCAATTGTCAAATTACAGCTTCAGGTTATGAAGTCCTATCGTCCCTGTTTGCTCTCCTCAATTTACTGTTGTTTATACTTTTTGGGCCTGGAGCTGTAACAGTGTCCTTGGTTCTCAGGCTGGAAAAGGATTATTTTGTCTAACTACCCTGTAAAGAGAATTTGGTAACACTTTACATGAAGTTCAGAGCCCCCACACTAAGGCAGTACAGAATCTGGAAAATATAAAAGCTAAAACTTAAGGCATCATTCCTGTATTGTTAATTCTCCTTTCCTAATAAGTTACAAATCTTACTATCCTCCCTTAATCGCTTTCTTCAACAACACTTAATACAATCTTAATGAGACTCCAGGCAGTAAGAAAGTAAGAAATGTGCTGTCTGGTATCTATTTAAATCAAAAGTCAGAGCACACAGAGAACTCTTTAAGTTCACCAGCACTGATCAGCCATCAGATGGATTCCAGTACCTGAGATGCCAACAAAACCACACTACAGTCAAGTTACAGCTCTTCTTGGTGACTGCTGTACTTAGCAAACTTCTGACACTACATCAGATATTGACAAATATGTCTAAAGATTTATAGCCCCATGACAATTTTGACTTTACAAAAATGAAAAACACCCTTTTTCAAGCCTCAATAGATATACCAATAGTAAAGTTAGCATCAATATTTCCTTGCCAGGAGGTCCTCTATTTTAAGCCATGAAGAAAAACTGACAAGTTAGAACAAGTCGTGCAGGAGATAAAATGGATAACAAAACAGGCAAATACTTTAAACACCGCATGATCAGAAAAGAAAAAAATTGAAACATTTGTAAGCATTTATGTAATGAAAGAAGACTTGCATACATACGAAAAAAACTGCACGTCTGCCATGTGTAAAGCCTGCTAAATTGTGAGAACAACAAACAGGAATGAAAAAACAGACCAAAAAGGCCAGTCTCCTAATAATGAAATTAGCAAAATAAGATTACCTTGCTCCAATCTAAAACATAGGGAGCGTTTTGCAGCTTCTATCTCAGGAGTTGGATGATCCAGAACACGTCTGCACCACTGCAGAGGACTCAGTGATTTCTCTTGAGGAGTGTGAGTCTTGGTAGGCAAGACGTACAACCTTAACCAAAACACACAGAAGTATCAGCAAGATACACAATACCACAAAGTTTGCTTTTGTAAGCTCACTTTCCTATTAGATCACTAATAATTTATAACATCCAAAGCCCTGCAAGAGGACATCTAATAAAAAGAAATATATCCTGAAGTAGAAGAGTTTGCATTAGTTTTCTTTCTTCCCTCCTCAGAAAAACAGGTGGCAAAATACCAACTCTACGGGTCTGGCACATCCAAACAAAATTCAAGTAGATTTCACATTAAAATCTTCTATCTAATCACTACCACTGTCTGAATTTCAGCACTGCCCAAATTTCAAATGTATTATGTGCTGTACACATTAGGTGCTCTTGCTTTTCCCTATACTTATATTTACTAGCGATTTAGATAATTTCAGTATCTGATTTTATCTTTAACCAGATGAAACAGATGTTATTCAAGCCGTATCTGTAATGATTAAAAAATATTCGATGAGAAACACTGAAAATCTATTTTCAACATTCAACACCAGCAGAAAAGAAAAAAAAAAGCACATACGCAAGAAAAGCTAATGTATGTGCATTATTCTCAGGCAAGAGTTGGCAACTGATCAGTTGCACATTAGGAAACCAGGTTTCAAAGCAGATTTCATGGGAGAATTCTTGAGGCTGAGATCTGGGTTGGTGCTGTCACCCTGGTAGATTAGCAGGCACAGCAGATGCCAATTCACCTGATAGAGTGCAAATCTTCAAGGAAGCAAACTGTTCTGGTCTGCTGGACAAGACCCTTGACTTACAGCTCCCTAGCCTGCCCACCTCAGAGACACGGGGCTAGGGACACCCAGAGGCAAATTCTCAAGGCACCAGAAAAGCACTCCACAGACTGTAAAGGGATCTGGCCTGAACAAAGGGGGATTTAAAGGAAAGACCAAAAACTAAACAGGATTTTGCCCCTCAGGGGGTCACTAACAAGTAGCAGCAGCATTTCACCTTCACAGTTCTGGTTCAAGAGCTACCCAAGCCCCACCAGAGCAGCCCTTCTCCAGTGTCTGCCCCATGGAGATTTTTGCCTTTGAAGTCAATCAAAACTGTCTATCCAATTCACAAGGAATAAATATCCTCAATGCGATTGCTATCTCTCTCTCTCGGCAATCCCAGCAGAGATCAACTATTGAATTGCTCTGAGGAGAAGACTCATTTCCCAAGACGTCCTGCAGTACCTGACCACACAGTTTAAAAATTATACTGAGAAAGCCAAAAAGCAAATGAAAGAAAAGCTTTCAAGTTTCCTGTTAACCTGAAGAAGTGTTTCAAAAGCTGAACATCTGACTGATGATCAGATCTCCCTGTAAAAAGCTGAACGCTACAAAGCAGTTTGACCTGTCTGTGGTTCCACAGGGCTGGCTGGTTTTGGGTTTTTTTGTAACTACAGTTAAAACAAAACAAAACCAAAAAAACCCAAGCAAAACACAAAAAACCCAAAGGTATTTAAGGCCTAAAATTCCTAATCAACAACTAGGATATGCACGGAAGGTTTTGGATTTCCATATAGCAGTTTGCTTTAAAGACAGATTTTTAAAAGGCCCAAAGCAACTAGCATGACACACCTGACCTTTCACGAACAAAGACGGAGATTTATACTTGGACTAAAAACGTTCAACAGCTCAAACAAGTCACTCTTAGTGAAACAAATTTGTTAACAAATCCCTGCCATGAAATTCTGCCTGTGGACACATACATGTGTGACATAAAGGTAAATTCTGGCGCCCTAATCTAGGATTGCTCCCAGGGAGGAAATCAAATTGGAAATTTCACTACAGGACAGTAGTGCAGCGATCGAACTGACTGCTACCGTAAAATGTAAACAAGGAAAGCATTTTGGCTAACAAGACATTATCGAACAAATTTGATATTCCCTAATGCTAGGAAAGCTAGAAGTTAGAAACAACGTAAAATTTTATTTAAGTCTGGACTGACAAGCTCAAACCAACCCTGCACAGACCAACCACATGCACAATGAAGCGGTGCTGACAAAATTTTCCACAATTTCTATGTGATTCTCAAAAACCATTTTCAGAAACATGGTATTGTGGACCATGAAGCACATACGACAATCAGAAACATTTCTGACGTTTAGATTAATTTTTCGACATTTTATCTTCGATCAAAATTAAGGATATTTGAACACAGCTTCTTTATACTGCATTTTATTCTTATTTGACATTAACTTATAGCTTGATTCAAAAACGAACCTCATAAAAAAAGAGAGCTATATGGAAGCTCAGACAAATACTCTAAAACTCATTTAAATAATCTATATATTGCTATTGACACTTGAAAATAAATTGAGGCTCAATGTCGTTTCGCATGGTTACACAGCCAAGACAGTATTCCAGCACTGCCCCTGCGATGATCGCCCACGTTGCTGAAACAGGTTTTGAGGCACTAGCTTTACTGATCTACTTACATCGCTACCTTGCAGTCTCCCCCTCTATTCCTTTTTACGGGAGTCTAACCATTCCAGGTTACACAGGTTAACCAGTCCAAGTCGATTTTATTTTTTGCTCTATCCATCTATTAGTCATTTCCGATTTATTGCATTTATTAGCACCCTGCCGTGCCTTTTGGAGCTATATGGGCGTGTGAGATACACAATTTAGATCAACGCCTAAAGACAAAAGCCCTCCCAAATCCCTGAAGATGGGAGATAATTTGGCAGAGATTTTAGGATGAGGAGGCAGCGCTGCTCAGATCAAGGCTTTCTCGGAACGAAATTCCGCTATTTTTAATTCCTTATGTAAACACGAGGCTGGAAGTAGGCTGAGATGTGAACGGTATTCCTCGGGGTGTAAAACGAGCTCTGCCTCCCACCGAGGGCGCGACGCTGCGGGCGGTGAAGGCGCGACCTGAGCCGCGTCCCTTCCCTCGGCAGGGCGGCACGGTTTGGAGATGGGGGGCGGAAAAAAAAGGGAAAAAAAAACAGATTTCAGTCTAAGCAGGGAGATCAAGTGGATTTGGGGGCTAATACTAATCAGAGCCGGGAGACCGCAGCGGGAGGCCCGGCCGGGGGGCACAGCCGAGCCGGGGCGGGGAGCAGGGCAGGGCCGAGCCGCATGTACCATGTATCCTCGTCCTCTCCGCAGCCGTCCTCCAGCTCCAGCACCGCCACCTCGTCCAGCACCGTGGCCGCCGCCCCCGGACCGCCGCCGCCTTCCTGCCCGCCGCCAGCAGCCGGCGGCCCGGGCGAGGGCTTGAAGTAGGCGAGGGGCTCCGGCGGGCACAGCAGGGTGGGCACCGGGCTGGGCATGCACGGCGGGCCCGCGGCGGGAGGGCTGGAGGGGCGCAGCCCGCCCGGGGCCGGCGGCGGGGCCAGCAGCAGGTGCGGGCTGGGCGGGCCGGTGGCCACCGCAGCGGCGGCGGCGCGGCTCCGGAGCTGCTCGTTCTGCTTCTCCAGCTTCCGCACCAGCTCCTGTAGCTTCTTCACCTCCAGCTCGGCGCTGACGGCAGAGCCGGCGCCGCTCCCCTTCACCTCCGCCATCATCGCCGGTTTCAGCAAGGCAGCCTCCATCCTGCCGGCTCGCTGCCGCCGCCGGCACCTGCTCCGCCGCGCCGCCGGAGGGCAGCGCCCGGCCCCCGGGGGAGGCGGGAGCGCCGGGGTCCGGCCCTGCGCCGCTGTGCCGCCCGCTCGGCCCCGCTGCGCCGCTCCTGCGCCTCCCGTTAACGGCGGCGAGGGCGGGATCCCCTCCCACTCCGGCAGCCCGAGCGCCGCGCACACGCACTCGGCAGGAACAAAGAGCCGCCCGGCGCCCCCGCCATCCACCTCCGGGGAAGGGCGGCGGGAGCCACCTCCGAGGGGACCCCCGGGTGTTAAAGGAAAAGTGCCTTCCCCCCAATGCACCCCACCGCGTCTCGCCCCGCCCCGCCCGCGGGCTGGATCCGGCCCCGGGCGCCGCGCCTCTCGTGAGCCGTGTAATTAGAGCCTGGTGGTGTCAGGGCTGTAATTATTCAGATTGAGAGTGTGAGGGGAATGGGAATTACAAATAGAGGCTTTGTTGGGTTTGAAAGGAGCTAATTCAGCCAAAAGCCGCCGTTTGTAGGTTTGAAACATGCTGAACCCGGGAGGTTTGGCGCAAAGCGAGGAAGGAGACGCGTTTTTCAAGTTGGGTTGGTGGCGAAGCAAAGACTGAGCCGAGTATTGCAGAAAACTACGTAGCTATGTATTGGTTATGTGTAGGAGAACTCCCAAGGTGAAAGATGCCCTCGTATTGAAATGTCTTTCTTAACACAATCCAGATACATAGGTGGTCTTGTAGCTTGCAAATCTTGGAGAGGGAGAGGGATGAGTAATGTTGATTTATGGTAGTGTTTTTGCGTTGTCTTTCATTGCCCAGCACTGTAAGAAGACATTGCTTGTATCTCTAGTGTCATCTGGGAGGTGAGCAGAGATTCAGTGTTGCCCAAGACAGCTCAGGCATCACACAACCCTCCTTCAGTTCATTTCCTCTGGCTACAGCTTTAGGGGACAACCTTCTAATTCAGTCCTAAGTCTCCTACGGCTCTGATATGAAACCAGGAACAAATCTCATTAACTCAGGGCAGGTTTAGATTAGATATTATAACATATTTCTTCACCAAAAGTGTCATCAAGCATTAGAACAAAGTGCCCAGGGAAGTGGTTCAGTCACCATCCTGCAAATATTTAAAAGATGTAGCACTTGGGGATGGTTTAGCGAGGAGTTGGCAGTGCTGGCATAATCTGGGTTAACAGACTCAGTGATCTTTGATGTCTTTGCCAGCCTAAATGATTCTGTGAGTCTAAGGGCTGTAAGTTGCTCAGCTACCCACTAAAAGTAGCTATTGGTCAATCACTACCCAATCCTTGAACATCGGATTTGGCAGAGCAAAACTGTCAGCCACTGCTGCCTTCATTCTGCTTTGTTGCTTTCTCAGGTTTCTGCTGTAAGGCGGAGCAGACATTGATTTTCTGTTCAGGGCATAAGTCAACTTTGAAATCATCCAGCCTGTCACAGTTTTGTCTCTTGTTTATTAATCTGGAAACTTTTTTCTGCATGTGCCCGGGACAACGGTGCTATTGCTTGTCAGTCTTTGAAGCACTCTTGCAGTATAGATAATAACAACTAGTCCTATAAGAATGAGTAGAAAGGAAGTTAGAGGGGAACACAAAGCATTGACTTCCAGGTGATACAACTTCTATCAGTGAAAAGAGTAAATACAGCCCCAGTGTACTACTTTGCAACCAGACAGCACTTAATCCAAAACTTTGGTTGTGTCTTCTCTGTCCCTCTGGAAGAAAGAAATGTTGAGAGTATAAAAACTGTCTGGCTTCAGTTCTGCTATGTTTCATTAGAATGAGTAACAGAATCCAGTTTTCACCACTACAGATTGCTCTAATCTTTATTCCCACAAGTAAAAGGAGAATTGAGCTTCTACATGTTTAGTCAGAGGCAAAATGTGTATTTCTCAGTTTGTTACCACTAATAATGGTACTAGCCTTAATTCTTACAAGTGCATTATTAATCCAGTAAGATTGCAAAATGATATAAAAAGATGAATTGGCAGCATATGTAATACTGATTTTATTATATATCACTAGTGTACAATGATAAAAAAAAAGCCAAGAAGAAGTTTATTTTAATATCAGTGCTGGAGGATGCAATGAGGCAGTAGAGGTTCAGTTATATATCATATATATATCAGTTTTTTCACTGAAACAGTACTTAGGCATTGCAATAAGTTGTCCACATAGGTGGTGGAACCATTGTCTCTGGAAGCATTCAAGAGGTGTCTGGATGTGACAGTTGGGGATATGGTTTAGGGGTGATTATAGTGGTGCCAGGTTGATGGTTGGGCTAGATGATCTTGAAGGTCTCTTCCGACCTTGATGATACTGTAAAATACTCAAGTTACATTCAAAATGGAGGCTTTTTTGTTTGTTGGTTTTTTTTTTTTTTATTTGAACCAAGGATGCAAAGTCTTTTAGTGGACCAGCAAAAAAACCCAGTAAAGAAGTTTTCAGTTGTCAGAACAGGAACATAACAGTGTGGTCTGGATGTTGCATCACTAAAAATATCTTGATGCAGACACCAGTTTGGAGATAGATCAGGAGATACATTTGAAGACAGGGTAGAGCATATAGCATCATGGCACAGGATCTTGAAGTCACCATAGGGATGCTTGTCCTCAGTTATGAGTACAAGTAGTTGAATATTTTCAAATGCCCTCTACTGTTTGTGCTGCCTACACAAATGTTGCATGCAGGCATTCATTTCAGGACTCAGTTGCCAAAGAGAAAAAGCTTAGAACTTGGCATTGTGCCCTAGCATGGGCACAAATGAACCTTTTCCAGACATTTGTCGTAGACATCCTATCAGCAAAAAAATGGTCCAGAGATTGGCTCTTCCTTCACTGGGACTTCTTAAGTGATATACGCAGTGGTATGGGTAGAAAACAGCTTAAAGTTGTGCATATTTCAGCTACCATGCTCACAGTCAGTGTGAGAGACTGTCTTTTCCAGGTGTTTCTTGTACAAGTGGATTTAGTGAAGGGTAGAAATGCGTTTCACTGTGTTGTATTTGTTGCTCTATTTTAAGTGTACTTGTAATTTCACTAACACATAATTTCACTAATAATACAGCTTCACACAGGGGTCCTGGCAGATAGAATGTATATTGATGAATACACTGTCCTGTGGTTTTCAGGTCGGTCTGTTTGAATACTGCAAAGATGATTTGAACATCTTAGTCATTTAAATAGTTAACCTAATTGTTTGGGGTTTTAAACATAAATTACTCTCCTCCCAAGATTGGCATTACTAATAAATTGTTAATGAGTTCCATTCAGTATCCCAGCAGTAGATTATGAGTTTGATCAACCCAGAACTTCATCAGGACTGAACCACACTGAAGACTTGATGGTTCCATTCTTTGTTTAAGGCATTGGTAAAACATGTCTAACACCAACCCCAAACATCCTAATGTGCCCATGAAACCTGTTACTCCTGGACTCAAGAAATTATATGCCCTAAATCAGTAGAAATCTTCTGTAGGATGCTACTTACACAGTACCTATAGTAGGAATTTCTGAATCAGTGTAGTTACTAATAGGCTGTCAATGCAGAGAACAAAGAAGCAGGAAGTCCGCAAATCCCATCTGCTCTTTTCTGGTAATAAGCTTGTTGCTTTATGCTGCAATAGCTGCAGGCTGGATCTGCCTTTCAGGCAAGCCAGTAAAGAATTAATTGCTGTAATCCAGTCTGGGCTATACAAAGGATGTGTAACAATAAGGTCAGAGCATGGACAGTAAACTCCAAGTCTCATGAGATTATTTTAAAGTGCAGTTGCAGTCTGAAAAATTACTGTGAAAGTAGTTTTATAAAAATAGAGCCACTTTCATGCCAGCAGAAATCCGTCCTATCCAGTATTCTCCCTTTAGTGAGGGCTGATAGTAGCTTTGTAAGAAAAATATCTCAGAAACAAGAAAAATATTGAGGGATATTTTCCCTCTTTCAGAAGTCGTTGAATCAGGACATCTGGATCATTTAATTTTGATAGCAACCAATGTGTAATAATATTCCATTTGCTGAGACCCAATTTTAAGCCATTTAAACATTAGGGCTCTACAACCCCCTGTGGCAATTAGAGCTGCAATTTAATAATGTATTGTTAGAAAAACTACTTCTTATTATCTACTTTAAATCTGCTGCATAGTAATTTGATTGGGTGCCCCTTAGTTCTGGTTTTCTGAGAAAGACAGAATGATTAATCATTCTCTATTCAGCTTCTCTTTGTCATTCATGACTATATAAAATTTAGATACTTCTCTTCCCAGCTGACAAGCCCTAATTTATATAGCCTTATCCCCACAGAAGCCAGACCAAACCTCCCATTGTTTCCTGTCTCACTCCATAATGAAAACGGAATTTTCTAACCCATTGTTTTCTTTCTGTTCTCGCTCCATGTTTTCTTATAAAACAGTCAAAGAAATCAGCTTAACCAAAAGCATATTGGCTTCTTCAGAAACACTCATATATTCATCAGCATGCCCTACTTTAAAATATGTGTGTAGACTCTCCTCCAGTATATCATACATATCCAGATGCTTCTGTATTCTGTTATTTGTTCCAATTTGTACAAATTGGCTTGATAAAAACATTAAGACTAAATGAAATGTAGTTCCCCAGAGCAGTTTTCTGTTTTTTTCAAGGCTGATGTCCCACCTGATGCTTCCAGTTGTTTGGCACCAAGCCTGCTTTGAACAGTAGGGTCAATGTTTGTCAGAACTTCAACACTGTCACACTTGAGCTGCCACTGAGGTTTTGCATAGATGTTACCTAGACCTAGCAATTTTTTATTGTTACGTTTATACATTTACTCTGCACTATTTGAGCAATTAAACACTTTCCTGAAGTTACAGCATGGATACTTCATTTTCAGTATCTCTTCAAACATTTTGACTTCCTAACTGTTACTAATTTCATGCTAGTAGACTCTTTTTTTTATACTGTTTTTTTATACTTTTTTTATACTG